GTTGGGTCAAATTTGTGTGGAGGTTGAAAATTACAGGGGGAGTCTTTATGGCCCAAAATAGTGATTTTAGTATTATGTAACTCGACAGGCAAATTACAGTAATATTTTTAGCAAATTTCTTTGAAAAAATTTCATTTTACAGTAGTTTGGAACGATATCAGGAGTGGGGGTGGTGGCAGTGGCCTACTAGGACTACAATTTATTTGAAGCTATCTTTTTTTTTTTTTTTTTTTTAATTTAATTCTCAACCAACAGAGATAAGAACCTCCACTAACAGGTTGGGTCCGATCGTCCACACCAGTTGGGCCCAATCGTCTGTCACCTGATGTTTTCATTACGATGATCAAGAACGTATACTATCTAGGCCCTAGGCTAGGCTTAGATTGCTGCCGTCTCTCTGCTACGTATACTACTACCGCACTACTACCGCATAACAAAGAAAGCGACCCACACGGTGCATTCTTAAATTTTACACACATTATTAAAATGTATTAGACGATAACACGATATCACTGACTGAACGATCTACCACCCTCGCATCGCAGTAACTACTGTACTGAACTAGGCCTAGCTTAGGCCTAATGTTTTTGTGGAAAGTTAGATAGTCGTTATGTACTCGACAGTCGGCTGCCTTTATATCTTCACTTGTCTTCAACTTGCATTCAAAGGGTACATTTATTGCTGCATAGCCAACTGTCTGGGATATGGTACCTTCATATGACTACTCCATAGAGATAATAATAAGAATACTAGAGCGCTAACCGCAATGTATTCGATGTTCGAAATACACAGAACTGTGTGGGTACCATCCAAGATGGCTGCCATAGATTTAGCCAATCAAATTTTGCTAAGCACCATTGTTTGCAATTGCCCCCTCAATTTACTCAGAGGGTTCAGTACAGCTAGCTACCCGTATGTTTGAAACTCGAGCGTTGCGGTGTTTGGGTGTAATGTACACGATTTTAATTTTCATTCCTTGGTACTTTATTTTTAAATAAGATGCACCACTTGGCCTCGTTTTGGCTACAATAGTTTAATAATTTGTTATTACCATTACTCATTATCAAATGAAATAATAGTCAGTCAGAGGGCTTATTAATATGTAATAATATGTATACTAAGCCTGAAGGTGCGCTTTACTACGACGGCCATCTTGGATGGTACACATACATAACTCTGCTTTGCTGCGCCATTTTGTCAGCACTCTAGTTGTTTAATAGCTCTATGGACTACTTATACAACAGGAAAAAAACGTCGCATGGAGTTAGTGAAAAATGGAGATCCAAATGAAAAAACGATGTATTTCAGCAAGTATTACCTTTTTGTTTTATTTTAGGCCTTCTTCAAAATACCTATGCCACAGCAGTTTATTTTTTTTGCCGTAAAACCAAAATAGTTTCATCCATGCCGACTTGCCGATCGGTTAGCTATAACATACTCACAGGTGGAAGACAATCGATCAAGCATAAGCAAGATATGTCCAAATAAGTTGAAAAATAATGACGTCGTAAATAAAATTTAAGTTTTTTAAAAATTAGATAGCAATATGATGATATCACAATGTCCGATCAGCCATAATGATCTATAAAATCATATGCTTTCAGAATATGTAATGTGATGATGCGATTTGTTCGTGCGATGGGATTGCGCTGCAGCTATTGTTTGCTTTATTGTTGTTGTATTTGCATATTCATCTTGTGCATGTTCATGCAAATACACAGCTGTTTGGCGGTATTTATGCTTTTGTGGGCTCTTGCAACGAGTTTTCATTTGTTCCGTTGCAAGCCCTGCACACATTATTTTGGCAGTATACAGTTCGTTATTTTGGCAATATGCAGTTCTGAAGTCCATGATGTAAGTGTATATTATAATCTGTAGTTAATTTAATTGAATGATATGTGTGCATTGATACAATAAGTTATAAGCATGTCAGGGGTTTCCCTTAAGGTTTTTTTTAACTAGCCAAGTGGACCAGTAAATTAATATTTTTACTGGTCCTCAATCCCTTTCACAATACGATGTTCGGTTTTCCGAAAAGATCGGTTTGTGGAACATTTCTATTGAATCCTTTCCGAATAAGGAAGGCCAGTTAGGGCCTAGCCTAGACGCTAGGCTTAGCATAACCCAGTGAATTCAGTATGACTAGCCTACAAAAAGTTAACATTTAACATATAATACGTACAGTACCTATTGTTTAGCTGTAGTGCACAGCAAATTGTATTACTGTACTAATAAAATGAATGCTTTTATTGTTTTTACATGCATTTTCAGTCTGACATTTTTTCTAAACTGTAAACACAACACATTCTTCATGGTTACGATGCGACTTCTTGTAAATTAATATCAGGTCGTGCCACCTTAATTTTTTTCGTGGGGTCATGTGACTGGGCAAAATCCCATGTGCTTGGCTGTGGTGACGTCAGATCGCCCAAAGTTTCATAGTGCGTGACAGCTTGCTGACAGGAACAAGCTTAGTGTAAACCGATACATTTTTAATTAAACAAATTTATTAAAATGAATAAGAAACCCTTGTGGTTTTGTTGTAGAGTCAAATCTAAACAGAAATCTAAAAAATTTAAATTTCATTCTCTGCAAATTCCCTCCATAATTAGCAATGTTTTTGGGGAATGTGAGTGTAATTTACATGTCAACTGATAATCTAATGACATACCACATCTGAATTAAACGTCTACTGAAAAAGAGCCGTTGTAGAAACAATTGCTTTGAGTTTCTTTTTCCTTTCAGGTTGATTACAGTCGATTTTTAAGTATTCATAAGGCAATAATGCACTTTATTAAAACAATGGAAGGCGTAACTTTCACTTTAACATTTTACTGGTGTGTCATTTTAATTAACAGATAATCTCCATGGCAATGCTATTGGGACTGTACGAAGAACGGTTCATTCACAGGGTGTAATTATTGCGTTATTTCGTCTGAAAATCGTTGCGTTGCTTATTAACTTTTATCCCACGTTGCACTGTGGGATGGATACATGACATGGATGTTTTAAATTCACGGTGCTCACAGACGGAAATCAACTTCCCCTTGCGGAGAAGGTGATTTCCCTCTGTACGTCTAGCCATGGATTCCTCCATGGTCTAGCTAGTGCGTGATGTTCATCGGTTCGC